AAACGTCCTTAATTTTAAGTTTTTTAGTTTTTTTTTTTTTTTTTATACCTTTTTCTCACTTTCGATAAATTTTAAATATATGTTTATTTTATATATATTTTCTAATTTAGTTATAAAGAAATAGAACATAAAAAAACAGACTATAGAGTATAATCGATAACGTTCCAACCGAAACATTCGTCAAGATGGACCCATCGACTCCGGAATTTGACCGGCTCCGCTTTTTTCCGCTCTCGCGGTTTTTCCGGGAAAGGCCGGGAAAAGGCGGAACCGGTCGGACGAGTGTTTCTAATCCGCTCGCCTTTCACTCGCGATCTCGTTTGGCAGCAAACCCGATCGATTTCGCAACCCCTGCAGCGCTGTCGACCCCCTGCAAACCAGCGCTTATCGCGAGCGCAACGTCAGCTGTTTGTCCGTTGAACATCTTGCGTTATCGCGAACGCACAAGACCCCCCGCGTTATCAAGGATTACACAAGCCTCTCGCAGCGGGAATCCTCCGCCGAGATTCGCGGTAAGTTGACGGCATGCGGTAGCACGACAACCTCAGATCGTCGTGTGAAACTCACGAAGCAACAGCGGCCGACAATGTTCTCCTGGAGGAACGTTCTCTCCGTCGTCTCGCAGAAGTTCGCGAGGAAGTTACATCTCTCGAAAATCCGGTAAGGATCATTTTTCTCTTGGAAATGGACATGCATGCAATTATTTTTGACATAATTTTTGATATAAAAAAAAGAAATATAATGCATTGTAATATCTCTTAGAATGTATGAGGGACATCTGTAATATATGTAGTAACATTATTATGTACCATAAATATCTTTTGTATATTAGAGATTGAAAATTTTTTAATGTTAGACAATAAATATATATGTCAAATATGTATTGAAGGAAAAATGAAAATGATCGATAAAATTGAAAAACAATTTTATTTAGTTTTAAACGCTTTTTTAAAAGCGTTTTCTCTCTGTCAGTAAATTCACTATATATTATTCATTACTAATCAAAAAAACATATAAATATATTAACTTGCGATTATTATCCATTATTTTTATTAGAATTTTGCTGGTTACAGACAAGAAGCTGTGATAATAGACGGAACGAAAATAGCAGAGGAAATTCAAGAGGAATTAAAGACAGTTGTAGATACTTGTACAAATGCCGGGAAGAAGAGGCCAAAGCTAGTGGCGATATTGGTGGGAAATCATCCATCCAGTAAAGCATACGTTGGTAGGAAAATGAAGGCGGCAAAGTTGATAGGTAGACTTTTTTATTTTCAACAAATCGCTGGTTTCTACTCTTCTCGCATACTAATCTTATCTATCAATCATCAGGAATCGAGAGTTATACTATTCATTTGGGAGAAAATATAACGCAGGCAGAGCTTCTTAACGAAATCGACAGTCTCAACAGAGATCCATCAGTCGATGGTGTCTTGGTACAATTACCATTACCTAAGGGCATGAATGAAAGAGAAGTATGCCAAGCAATAATTCCCAAGAAAGATGTGGATGGCTTCCACTTAGAGAATCTCGGTAATCTGACCCTCGATAACAGCAGTATTGTACCAGCCACTGCTCTAGCCGTGAAGGAATTAGTACTCAGAACTAAAATCGAGACCTTTGGGAAGAATGCCGTGGTTGTGGGTAGATCGAAGCATGTCGGGCTGCCTATCGCATTGTTACTTCATGCCGATGGCAAAGGTGATTGACTTATCAATTCGGCAACCAAATTTGATCATATTAAAGTCACGATAGCATACTTATTTTGACGCCATAGACGTTTCAAATCGCATCACTGTCTGTGACGTTATCTAATATTTTGCGTCTGTTTCCATTTCACAATGATAATTTCTTTTAAATATACACATATAAAAACAATGATATGTTTCAAACACAAAAGACAAACATTTCTGATCACGATTGGATCTTCATGCCTAATTATTACTTTTTGAATTCATATATATATATATATATATATATGATTTTATATATTTTTTTTTATTTCTCTTTGTCTTCTTCTTTTAATGGGAAAACTTTTTTACGGATTAGAATTTTAATTTAATAACATGAATTCTTCATGTTATTGTTTCATCTTTAAATTCCCAAACTAATTGTGCAAATTCCAATTTCAGGTGAAACAGGTGCGATGGATATGACAACGACAATCTGCCATCGTCACACGCCTCACACAGAGTTAGAAAAATATACGAAATTGGCGGATTTGGTAGTAGTGGCGGCCGGGGTTCCTGGCTTGATCACCAAGGACATGATAAAGCCGGGTGCTTGCGTAATCGATGTGGGTATCACCAGAATGAAGACAGCAGACGGCAAGTATCGTTTGGTGGGAGATGTGGATTACGACAGCGTGAAGGAGGTCGCCGGGTACATCACACCGGTTCCCGGTGGTGTCGGTCCCATGACGGTGGCGATGCTGATGAAAAACACAGTCACGGCCGCTATGAGAAATCAAGAAGACATAAAACAGTCCGATCAATTGGAAGACAGCGAGGCATTTGTATATTGACGCATGATAATAGAATATGTTATTTGAAATGATCGATAGATATATTTTTGTATTTTGTAGTATAAAAATAAGTATTATTCTTGCGAAGATAATTATAAATAAAGCTATTTTATTTGTTAATTTAATAGGAACATTATGTAACAGTTGAGTAAAAAACAAGATTGTAGCAAACAATCTGTTCCTTTTACATACTTTATTGCGTTCTTTTGTTATTTTCATGTAATTTTGTTACTTTCTTTCATGATTTTTTTAACACTTTTTACTTTATAAATACTCATTATTATTTTATAAATACTTATTAATTTCAATAGTAAATTTTTATTAAATGGAACATTTCAGAAATATCTTTAAATCTCCTAAATATCTTAAAAATATTAATTTTAGATTTTCTGAAATATAATTTCAGATTCCCAGAAACCTATTAGCTTCAAATCCCAAAAAATATTAGCTTCAAGTTTCAGAAATATTAGCTTCTGATTTTCAGAAATACTTATCAGCCTCAAATCTCAGAGATATTAGCTTCAGGCTCCCAGAAATATAACTCCACTACTGTTTCCCTGTTATCTCGGATGTGCAATTTCGAATGCATAAATCTTTCATTAATCGCAACAAATATTTTTGCGCATATTCGCCAGACATTGGCAAGATATCACATCACTGTAAAAATCTTTCTTTATTTAATTCTCTAGAAAATTTCAAACATTACAAATGAGGTTAGTTAATTGACGTGTCACGCGATCATTCGTCCGATCCTGGTCCGAAAATCATAAATACCAGTAAACAATGGTATTCGCGATTGCCCTCCGTCTTGTCAGGCAAAGCGAGAAGATCGTTCGTTTAAAGAGAATCGGTTTAACGACTTACAATTATTCAAGAAGCTTGTCATCGGCTCCTATCGAAATGAGCAAACCTAAAGTTCTTATTACACGACCAGATGTACCTTCTGCTGGTTTGAACTTGCTACGTAAGCGGTAAGCCAGGAAATTATTTTGATTTAAATTATCATCGTCTTATTCTTCATTCTTTGTTCAACATAATACGCTTCTGCTTGATTTGTTCTCTCGTCTTACACCATTTTCTTTTTTTCATACAGAGCTACATTAATAATTAGTATCAGCTGAGCTGTTATGTTTCTAGTTAGAAATAAAACAGTATGTAATTGGCGATGAAAGTATTTTAATTATTTTTGAATTTATATAAATTCAGAAATAAAAAGAGATTATTAGGCTTTGAAGATCTTGCTATACCAAGTAATGTCTATTCCATTCCTATGTTTGAATTAAATACATAATTCACGTGTAAATGCATTTCTCTAATTTGATCGCCAATGTATCCTTACACTTTTGACAAGTTTGATTTTGTACTTGCAGATATCACCTTATAATATGGGACCGATATGAGCCGATACCACGCAATGAATTAATGAACATGGTCCGTGGAGTAGATGCTATCTTCTGCATGTTAACGGATAAGATAGATAACGAGATTCTAGATTGTGCAGGTCTGCAGTTAAAGGTCGTAGCATCTATGTCGGTGGGTCTAGATCATCTAGATTTGTCTGCCTTGCAAAGAAGAAGCATCAGAATTGGTTATACTCCAAATGTTTTGACTGAAAGCACAGCGGAGCTGATAATAACTCTCTTATTAACCACGTCGAGGAATATAATAGAAGCGAACGCAGCTGTCCACAAGTATGTCAAATGTTAAATGTTATATACTACAGAATTATACAATGTTTGAGACATGTTGAAATTAAATTGTTACGTTTATCGCAGAGGCGAGTGGCCACCCTGGTCGCCTACATGGATGTGTGGTGTGGGACTAGCTGGGAAAACTGTAGGAATCGTTGGCTTAGGTAGGATAGGTATCAGAGTCGCTGAGATACTTAAGGGCTTCAACGTTGCCAAAATACTATACATTAGCAGGATTGAAAAACCGGAAGCGTCGAGATTCAATGGTGAAAAAGTTGACTTTGTCACGTTACTCCGCAAAAGTGACTTTGTCATAGTAACCATAGCATTGACGCCGCAAACGAAATACATGTTCAATTCTGAAGCCTTTCATCAAATGAAGAACACGGCTATATTCGTAAATGGTAGCCGCGGAGACGTAGTAGATCAAGAAGCGCTAATCGAAGCCTTAAGGGAAAATGTGATCGCAGCGGCTGGTTTAGACGTTACATCACCGGAACCACTGCCATTGCACAGTGAACTTTTAACACTAGATAATTGTGGTAAGTACAACACAAAACTATATGAAGAAATTATATGGAACATTAGTTTAACAACATATGCATGTAATGATAGTAATCTGCATTCGTGTCTTTTTAGTAATATTGCCTCACATAGGAAGTGCTACCATAGAAACTAGAGACGAAATGGCCTGTATCACTGCGAAAAATATCATAGCGGTTCTAGAAGGGACTCCTGAAGAAATGCCTGCGGAATATTGTGTAAATGTGTGAATTGTTAACATTGCCATACGTAATCATGAAAGATCCTCACTTAATCATAATTGAATTGTGATATATTTAGTCAGTCAAAGATACAAATCTATATAATTTATTTTTCCAATGATTTTATCTATTATATAATAAAAAATTTATGTAACTTATTTATAAGTATATACAAATATAATTGCATCAGTTAAAAATCAGTCTTTAGTTAAGAATCAGTCTTTTTACAAGGTACAAATTAACATGTAATATAAAAATGTATTTTTACAAGTATCTGCATGTGACTATGAACATGAGAATAAATCCGTTCCGATTCTTTTTTTTATAAAATAATATAATATAATATCTTCATAATAGTTTCATAATATCTTTAAGAGCAATAAAACTTGTTCATATACAGTAAAATGCAAAGCTGTGGTTGTGGCCGCTTTCACTTGACTCGGAACTAGACCTTTAAACAAACCTTGCACACCCTCCTCTTTTACTGTTATCTTAAAGCAATCCACTAATCCATTGCACTGAAAAAATTTACCAAATCCCTTACGACCATGCCGGAAACCTTGTATTTGCAATCTCTTTCTAGCAAGATCGAATGGATATATGATAGTTTTCGCTACGAGTCCAGCGGCACTGCCAGATAGCATAGAGTTATAGAAACTAGTATCAGTTCCAGAAATGTATTTCTTGTAAATATCGGTGAAGAGTCCATAAAACATAAATTGAAGACCGGTATGTGGAGCAATTTGCAGTAAAGTCGGTAATAAGCCGGAATAGAAAGTTCTCGGCGATTCCTGCCGAAGAATTGAACTGAAAAAAGAGACAAGAGACATTACAAAACTCAAAGATAAGAAAATGTTATTTTTACAAATAGATCTCTATGCCTAGTCAGTAAAATATTTTGAATTATGACCGTCATCATCAACACAGTACTAATCAAAAGTAATCAGTAATTAATTAAAAACAAACTCTGTAGCTTGCCTGCAGGAATGTAAAATTCCATTGTATATTTGATGATTATTTGATTGGGCTACTAATCTAGTTCTTATAGTATCGAAAGGAAATGAAACAATAGTCGCCATGCCGCCAGCACCAGCACCAGCGACAAATTGTATTGTATGACGCCGTTCTTCAACCTGTGGAATTTGCTGCAGTATCTTCATAAATACATTATAGGAATAAAACTACAATCACAAATGATGTATTATTAAAAACATCAAGCATACAAAGTATTTAATATAACAAATAATTATATGTTAATTAATATCCATTTTTATCAATGTAAATTAAATTTAAACTTGGTTTAGTTTATTATTTTTTTAATTCTGTGAACTAGAAAAAGGCAAAAAGTAATTTAAACTAAGATTAAAAGTACATAGATACATGGATACATAGGTACATAGATAGTATTAAATAAATTTCATCGGGCACCTGAGTCATTCCATAGACAACTGAAAGCAACTGTGCAGGAACATGACCCTTCCATAAAGCGGTAATTCCTTCTTCCTTCAAAATTAGAAGAAAAGCTTGTGACACAGACCTATATTTGCTAACATGATACCTGGAGATAGGTTCAACTTGTAACTACAATACAGAAACATTAATTAATTGATTGCAGGAAGATATGTTACAATATGCTTTATCATAAAATATGCTTTACTTGAAATCTAATTTTTATAACATCCAAAGGTTGACATAGAAATCTTGTTGTAAATCCACTGGCTGCGCCTGCAATTGCATGATCCAAATTTGGTTCAGTGGATTTTTGTATTGAAAAACCCATAGTTATTCCAACACACACTATTATTTATTTATACAGGTAGCATACAAAACAAAACTTGTATTAAAGATGTTATATTGATTAGACTTGTATATTGATAAATTTAAAAAAACATAAGCGAGTATGAAACCAGTTATTTGTTACGTCACGTTTATTTCATATTAAACTTGTAAAATACGATTGTAAGAAGCTCGAGAAATTAAAGCCTCATGCTCGTGAATTCACGTGTCTCGCCGATCAGTATTGTCCCAACCTACCTTAACTTTACTTATTTTTTGAAAAAAACCGCGTAAGCCACGGTGGCTCGCGAAAATGTTGCGATGCAAAAAAATACGAAAGATGCGGTCATTCATATATATGTGTCACTTGTTTTGCATGGTAGTTATCAGTTTTACGATCGCGTTACCGATAAACAAAAATTCCGTCAATGTGATACATCCTGTCGTGCCTGATATCGGTAAGTAGATGTGTCTCGACGAGCAAACTCTTAGCAATATTTTTACAGATCAATGGCAAATTCGTTCAGAATACAAAATACAAATCATCAACTAGTATCACTTGTGTCTATATTAAACTTGTATTTTATATCAATAGAATTTGCCATCAATCTTAAAACGTATAACATTATATCAATATTATATATAATTTTATTTTTAATTTTCTCATCAATGTGCCAGTTGATCGACAAATTTTGATTAAATTTTTGTATTTTGCTAATAGTTTGTTTTGAAATCTGATTTTGTCTTTCTGTAAATAAAATTTGTAACAGACAACTTACTTAGAATTTATTCTCAACAGACTTGATTAGACATTATCTGAAGCATTTAAAAAACTTTTTAAAAAATATTGGCACGATAAAAATTGAATAACTTGTTTTAAAACAATAATGCGCAAATCACAGGATAAAATCCTTTACAGTTAGGATATCAAATCAGAATTTATTGCGTCTTTATGAGTCGTCGCAAGATCCAGAAGTCCGTCCTGGTTTACTCGAGGGAGATATAGCTGTAACCAACAAGGTATATGCATGCTGCTCTCTCTTTTCTATTTTACATTTTTTATAATATATTCCATATCTTTTTTGTGTAGTACTTCGATTATTGGCGTGTCGGTCTACGCTGGGATGTTTTTCCAGATAAACTATGGGAGAACAGGACAGTTCCTTATGTGATTAGCGCTCTGTATGGTATGTAAAAATATTTCATATAGAAATTCAAAAACAATATCATTGCTATTTAAGTAAAATTAAGAACTATAAATACAATTAAATTAAAAATATAATATACACATCTGTTCCCAGACGCAGCGGATTATGTGAAAATATATAAAGCCATAACATATATAAATTACATGACGTGTATCAAGTTTGTTCCATGGGACGGTAAAATAAAGGATTTCTTACTGATATGGCCGATAATGTATCCCAAAGGGTAAAGGAATCGCATTATAAAAAATAAGAATTATATTTTTGTTATTTCTCCTGTTTCATCAATTTCTGAAATTTCTAAAAATCAATTTACAGGTGCTGGTCATTCGTGGGGAAATTCGGTGGAGCACAAATACTCTCTTTAGAACCACCAGATGAGAAAGGACCAAACTGCTTGGAAAATGAGGGAAAAGCGATACACGAGTTGATGCATGCTCTTGGTATCTTCCACGAGCACAGTCGCGCCGATAGAGATGTGTATATAGACATACACTATGAGAATATTATTCTTGGTAAAATTAAATTTTCTAAAGTATATACATAACTTTAACGAAAATCCATATTATATGTATAAAAAAATATCTAATTATATATTTTTATATTATATCAAGATATTTTGTCCTCTTTTTTCTTTACTAGGATTTAAATCCAACTTCGACAAGCAATCGCCAGAAAATGCAACGTATAACTATGAATACGGATATGACAGCATAATGCATTATGGAAGCCACTTCTTTAGCGTAGATCCTTCAAAACCGACTATGACACCGAAAACATCGGGTGTCACGATCGGCCAGCGAAAAGCGATGAGTAAAACCGATTGTTTAAAGCTGAACGATCTGTATGGATGCCTAGACAAACCGGAGGAAGCACAAATATATTACAATATTTGCAAAGTGTTGGGATTATAAATCTATACCATTAAAAATAATTTGTTTTAAAAATATTAATGATGCTCTCCAGATAGTAAGAAGTTAAACTTCTAAAGGTAAAAAAATATAAATCAATATTTACTTAAAAATATATATTATGAAATTTCAATCCAGTGTACTTTATCCTCTCAATGCTTAATATTTTATCTTGACTGAATTCATCTTGTAATTAATTTATCAATATATGAACAATGTCACAGAAAGTGCCAAGTTTTTGGTTGTGATTCATTTCTTGATCTTCCACATTCTGCAACAATAAATTTATATATAATTATTAAAATTTGATTTAAAGATTTTTTTATAATCGTACAAGATAGCTTAAATTATCAGTTCTTCTTAGAGGTAAATGAATGTGTGTGTAATCATAATGATATCATAAACCAGTATCATCATACATATAAAACACTTATTAAAAGATTTATAAAATTATTTGAAATCTTTAGTTTATTAATTATAAAAAACTTACCTATATCCAAGTATCATCCAATACTCCGTCCAAAACAATCTTCACAATATTTCAAATATCTATAGTTTGATATTTCTTTGTCTTTAAATCTTAAAGCAATCCATATTTCATTGTATAATGAATATATAAAAATTATTTTGAATATGGACTTTTGCCATTATTCTTTTTTACATCAAAGCTTTTTTTGAAAAGCTTTTTAATTCAATGCTTGTAACCTTTTCATTTTTAGAACAGTGTTGAATTTCAACATATAAAATTCTTCTTTTAGGTTGGAAAATGTTTAAAAAATACATACAATGTAATTTGTATTATACGATAAATAATCCAACTATCCAATGTTGCATAATATTCATCCAACAATGCAAAGCCTAACATTGTTCTGCAGAAAAATTACTTTTTGTCTCAGATCTCTGTTTATTACTTTTTTCAGATGAATACACGAAACATCAATGAGCCCTATTTGAAGTTTGCCCTGAGATATGCAATCCTGTAAAATCAAGAATCACCAAATAAGTATATGTACATTGATATTGAATCTATAAAAATGTATCAATATATTTTCATAAGGTTCAAAGAAATGTTGGAAACTTAGAGAAACGGCTCCAGACAGTATCGTGTGGATTCCGAAGGCAAGTTCCCTCTTTGCTTTACCTCCCACAAGCATTCATGCTCCAGCGAAATACAAGCTGGAGGCATGCCAAAATGAGAGGACATGATATATCGGTCTATGATATACAATTAACGAATAATCTTTGTAAACAATGATTTATATCTATTTTTACGAATATAGATTAATATTTTTAATCTCTTTTTACTCTTTACTGTTTTTCTAATTCTTAATACTAAATAAAGAAATAAAAAATTAAATCGAAATAAAAATTAATCTACACTGATAGAAAATAAAAATATATTATATATGTATTAGAGAGAGAAATTAAAAAAAATAAGAAAAACCGAAATTGAAATTCATTTATTATTAATAAAAATGAGCATTAAAAGAATAAATAGAATCCTCGACAATACAATTCACGAATCTTCTATTACGTTTATTTCAGAAAAAACATAAGATTCGTTCTATCCACGTGCTTAGTTAACCATGAAGCCCCTGATTCAAAAAACCGTCAATACAGCAAATTGCACACGCAATATTCATGAGCTAGAAATAATCAGCGAGGCAATACAATAAATCTTAAATATTTTATGAACAAATACAAAATAAATTTATCGACAAAATTATGAAGAGAACAAAACGAACGTCTCACCTCGACGGTTGCTGGCTGTGGAAAGACCGGGAGGGAGCCAAAAATGCTAAGGCTCGTTGCACCATAGGACGTTAAGCAAAGCGGCAAAGCAGCAATGCGGCAGCCAATCACCGTCTTGTTTTCTGATATATACCTTCGTGTCGGTCCACAATAAGTATTTAATCTTTAAGTCGTAAGAAATTAACCAATCATAGTCGATTATTCTTTTCATATTCGATTATAATTGGTCAATTTCTTACTTCTTAAAGCTTAAATCACCTATTGTGGACCGACACTTCGTTACATATTAGAAAACAAGACGGTGATTGGCTACCACGTGCCGCTTTGCCGTGTCCTGTGTGCAACCAGCCTAAGAACGTCTAATCGAATATGGGTTCTCTCTTCCTTTAGGCCTGTTTTATAAAGCGTCGTCTGTCGGTGTCGCAGCCGCGAGCCATAAGAATTGACCAGTCACAGACGAATGTGAAGAGAATACTTGATTGTGATCGGCCCATTTTTACAGCCCACGATCCACACACCGACACACGACGCATTGTAGCAAATTGTGGAAAAGAAGAGTTTTACATGATAAATTTTTTTATCATAGAAAATGCTTTTCTTGTTTTATTAAGAATTTTAATTATAAGGCATTTAACTTTTAAAATAATTGTGTTTTTAATAAATAAATCTAATGCACGTAATAGATATATCATATTATGCTAACAAGTCTCACTTTTCATTCATATTCATTTAATACACATTTAAGAATATCATATTGCATTTTTATATTTTTCGACCAATAAACGGTCAGAAAAATGCTTCTTTATTTTAAAATAACTAATTTTCGGATAATTCTTGTATATTTAAATTGAATTTTTCTGGATATACTGACGGTAATGTTAAAATTGATAAATTTCTCTTATGTGTACACGTATATGTGTGTTAAAATTATAATTAACAAAATTTAATTTAACCATTACTGCTTATTAGACGAGCTATATACAATATCAAAAATTATATTAATGTTTAAATTTGTATATGTTTTGTGTATGTCATTTTAAAATCATAAGTTATATTGATGTTGTGAAAAAATTGTTATTTTTCACGTTGCTATAATAATGTCTTTGGAAATGTACTGTCCGCAGTATCACGTACGTTAACAAAGATGAAAGATTAATTTGACTTATAAATTGTTCTTATAAATTGTAATTATTTAACTGTAACAAATTAAATTATCCTTTTAAATTTGAAAAAAGTTCTTTAATCTTATGTAAGTAGCATTTATATATCATTCTAATTATAAATCAGCGTTTTAATATTTTTTTATTATTATATTTCTTTTCTTACTTATTGTTTATTTTTGTATTAATATTAAATTTGGATTTTTTACGAAATTACAATAATTAAAAATGTGTGATGCAGGCTTTTGTAAAAGAAATGAAGAAGATTAATGTTATTTTGCTAACGACAAGAAAATGAGAGGCCAAGAAGTATTGAATGTTAAATCTTATTGAATCTTCTTTATTAACCATTAACGAATTGGTGATAAGTTATCTTTTCCGTAATCGGGCTTTTTTATGATATTGATTTGACGTATCACGAAAAAATAAGAAATCTTTACGAGCAATATTTTTATTTTGACACACATCCGATCACTCGACATTACGCCAGTTTCTCGGATATTAGAATATTTTTTGCGAAAAATATGTACAGATTTAACATTTCGGCACCTGGTAAAGTGTCGTTATACGGGGATTTCATAAAGGGATCTAATCTAACTTGCGTGGCAGCCAGCTTAAATATGCGTACTAGGCTCTCATTCGCTTCGTTACCTCCAAGAGTCGTCCCGAAGGAAAGTATCCAACTAAATTTCTCCAGCATTGATTTACAGATAAAGATACCATTAAATTCACTCCTCTTATACTTCTTTAACAAGAATTTCAATCGTCAACGTCCTCTATTTGAGATTTATAATCAAGTTAAAAATTACGTCCAAATGTTAAGTGGATGCAGCGGCAATTATGATCCAAGCAATCTTCAACACCGATTAAGCTTAGAAGCGTTTTTCTCTCTGCTCATTGTCATCGCCTACGAACAAAATATTAATATAACATCCAGCTTTATCGTAAAAGTATTAACGGAACTGCCATTTGGCTACGGTCTGGCCAGTTCGTCATCGTTCGTCGTATGTCTCACGGCGTGCTTTTGGCGTTGGTCATTGCTGCAAAAAGGGATTGTTCCCTACGAATTTCCTCCCGATGATCTTTTAAGGATCGCGATTTATGCCAGCTATTGTGATGAGAAGATATACAACAATACCATGTGCCCGATAGACATTTTCGTAACCATAAAAGGTGGAATAACGGTATATGAGAACAATGCAATGTTGAAGACGTATCAACATTTTCCGAACATAAAGATCTTGCTGGTCTATTCAATCGATAATGGGAACATCGATAAAAATAGGGAAATAAATTTGGAGAATCGTCCGGACTTGAAATCTGTTCTGGATAGCATCAACAATTTATCTCGGACGTCTATTGATGTATTTGAAAAGATGAAGAATGATACGGTCAATGTTAATGTCGAATTAGATACCTTTCCAGAGAGTTACTACGCTGAATTAGCGGTAAATGTTATCCGATGAATTTCATCAACACTCTGCCTATTCAGCTGTTTTTTATAGCTTCTCACAGTTGTTTACTTAAAAGTTTAATGATTTCTTAATATATCTGTTTTGCAGGAACTCACCCGTATGAATCAGGGATTATTAAAAGTATTAAATGTATCGCATAAAAATGCAGACCTTATTTGTGCACTCGCGCAGGAACATTTTTTACAAGGGAAGATGACGAATAGTACAGATGATTACATTTTAATTTTGCTACCACCAGACATCGCAATGGATTATCTCGATAAATTCATTAACGTACTCGAAAGTCGTGATTTTGTTGCCGTGAAAACTACTTTGTGTGGAAAGTGGGCTGGAGTAGGAATTGAATAGTACATTTAAATTAACTTAATATAATATATTGTGATATAATTTATAATTATAATAAATATCAAGTCTTTTGAAAAAAGTAGTTTTTAAAAATACATACAATATTTTTTATAAATTATATATGAATATATTATCTTTAATAATTAAAATATTGATAAAGCAAATACACCGTAATGATGTGTTGTTGTTTAAAATATCACATTTGAGAATGTAATTTTGCATCTTTGTACTGCATCTTCTCTGAACGTCTGAATTTCACAACATTTCCCCTACGTCAAGAGACGTTATTAAATTATTAGTAGACATATAAATTCTGAAATAAACAATGTTAATAATAAAAAATATGTATTTCAGGTATTGTAAGTGAAGGAAAGAAAATTCGTGTTTTTTGCTAACGACTCTTAATGAGGAATTGAGTTTTACGAGATTTTCTTTATAAATAGAAGATTGACAACAAATTAGACGATTATCTTTGGCATTTTGGCTCACCCGTTAGTATTAGTGGTATTGTTCGTTTAGATAAAAAAGAATAACAATTATTATCAATATTACAAACACAATTCTTGTGCTGGTGTACATCTGCGAGAACCATTGTTTTTTGATATTATACGATTTAACTCTCGATATTACGATTTTCCGGATATTAGAAGATTTTTTTCGCAAAAGACATACTTAAGTTCAACATATCTGCACCGAAGACGATATTCTTAAGTGAAGAACACATTGTGGGAGACAATAAAACTTGCGTAGCGACCAGCATAGATAGGCGTATAACGCTGCAATTCGTCGAATTTGAGAATTCAGAGCATCCTTCCGACTAATTTTATATTACTAATTTTCGATGATGTCAAATTATACATGAACATACCTTTAGAAACTTGTATTAATTATTTTCCTAACTCACATTCGCGTGTGCTTAATGATTAATTTAATTGACGAAATCATGAATTTTTATAACGGATATATGGGCACGTAAAATCGCACAACCCTAGACATTTTAATATATATAATATATTTTAATATATATATATATATATATATATATATATCTACTATATAAAATATAAATATATATATATATAATATTTAATATATATAATATATTAATATATTTAAGTTTACGTATGTTCTTTTATCTGTTCGTGACGATCTTCAACAAATAAAATATTAATATAACAGGTTCTTTTGTCGTAAAAATATGGTCGGAATTGTCGATCGGAGAAGGTTTTAGCAGCTCCACGTCGTTCGCGACATGCCTCGCGGCGTGCTTTTGGTGTTGGTCGCGTCTGCAAAAAGGGATCGCGAATTCTTTAGAGATGAATTGATGCTGAGAATCGCGATTTACACTTCCATGTGCGATATTCTCATATGTGAATCTAAGACTTCGCTGCACAGTTTCGTATCCGCAAACGGTTCAGTAATGGTATACAAAGATAATTTTTTTTGTCTAAAATGTATCATGTATTTTCGAGCATAAAGGAAGCTTGCTAATCTTCTCGAATATTAGCAGAAAACTCGTGAACGAATTGTCGAATATATGCGATGGAGTATTCATTGTTCGCACTCCTTTTGTATTCATGCTACTTCGGAAATGTTTGCTAAATTGTTCGAAAATAATATATCAAAAATATAATATTGGAATTTGATAAAACTGAGCCTCTTACTTACGTACCTACAGGGCTTTTGCGTGAAATCTATCGGTAAATCTCATTGGGCGAATTTCTATTGTTATATATACTTGCGCGTGATTATTTTTTTAAACTTTTCGTAGTTAGTAGTCTTTTCGTTAGTTTCATGTCTCATCTTTAATTAATGTATACTTTATTAATCTATATTAATCCCATCTTTTATATTATCTTTCTTCTTAAATAAATAAGAATTTATTCATGTTTATATATTTCTATTATTGAAGATATTTTTTTCTAAATATATTTTCTAAATACATTTCTTGAAATGATTCGCTTGAGTGCTTCGCTTTTATAATAATAAATTTTATAATTATAAATATATACCTTCTATATTTAATAAGTCCATACACAAGAAAATTAAACTCAAACAAGACAAATATTTTCATATATAAATAAAAATATTATAATCTTCATACAGAAGATTTTTAATATATATATATATTTTTTTTTTATATGAAAAATATTTACTGAATAATGTAAAATAATTGCGAAATTTAATAAATTAATTCTCTATATAAAATTTATTTTATATGTTTATTCATTTTTTTTCAGTTATTTTACATATAATGTTTCCTAAGAATCATATTCATATATCAATTATAATTGCGTCCATGATTCAGATTCACCGAGAAAGCATTTAATATTCTCGATCGCAGTAAAGTCGAGCGGAGTGAGAAGAAGGGACGACGTTCTCTTTCTCGCTCGACGCATCGACCTTAAGGTTCTTTTCAGTTGAACAGTTGGCTGCATTCTGGCTGACTGCTAGTTCACAGTTTATCTTTCTTTTTCTAGGGATTCTGTATTCGCTTACCGACAACAATCGATATTATTAACGATAATCAATGACAGCCATATTTTTTTCCAAGATCGTCCTTGCCATTGGCTGTCGTTAGTCACGACATCGACAGTGTCGGTGGACATGTACAAAATCCCGGCCCCGTGTAAAGTCTTGTGTCGGGTGGTACCCGACCACATCCCGATTGACCACTAGCCACTCACAGCGCTTGAACAATGGAAAAATTCTAGGCACCGGCCCCTGTGAGTGGTTGTGATCATTGAGTTCACTCTCCCTCTTGTGTCCACGATGCTAGAAACGGTGCGAGATTTCGATGAAGAAAAACTTGACCAATCATATTGATCAATTGACGGAAATAGTCACTACAATTTTTTCTCTGTCCGAGATCTCGGATCGATTTCTAGCATCATGGACAAAGGGCTTAAGAAAGAAAAATAAACTGTGAACTAGTGCAGCTAGTTCAGCCAAAAAGAACAAGCCTTTGGTCGAGCGCGCGTAGGCACACGGATAGAGGGAGCGTCTCTGTGTGCGTAAGTGAAGGGGGAAAATCACCAGCGCGCTCGGGCACAAGTTCGCACCACTGGTTTTCGCCACTGACTGGCATCCCTGCCCGTCAGTTCTGGCTTGCACTAGTTCAGTTCAATTCAGTTCTAGTGCAATCCTCATGTAAGAATAGAAAACAAATTTTTTATATTTATTTCATTTCAAGCGCAGAAAATGTAAAATTTGTTTTTTGTAGCTGAACTAGTGTACACTCATTGTACTTACAATGAAATATATATTTATAAAGTGAAAATTTGACAAAAACAAGATAAGAAGGTTAGTGTAGAAACAAAAGACCCATAATATCCCATCATATAAGTACAAGATCCATAATCGCAAAAATAAATGATCTTTGTAGCTAAATTAATCGTTGCACATACTTAAAATGAAATAGATATATATTTGGAGATTGACGAAATCGAGATGAAAGTTTAAATGCAATCTAATGCGGGAATAGAAGACGAACCTAAAGAGCAGAGTAAATATTTGTTTATGTTTTACACGTCTGTCATGATCTCCATCATTTTTCCATTGCTATCGCAGCCACAGTCGATTAATAATTCGTATGTAATTATTTTAGTTTTAACAATGATGCCTTGATTT